AGGCCCCTCCCAGCCCTGACACCCTGTGTTCTAAGGGCCCTCCCAGCTCTGACATTCTGGGTTCTAAGGCCTCTCTGAGCTCTGGCAGTCAGAGCAAACTTGCCCTACCCTCTGCAAGGACTCATGGGAGGTCCCCTAACCCCAGCCCATCATCTTGGGTTTGGGTCTGGGGAGGATGATGGGAATGGCTTCAGGCTTCTTAGGTGGGGGAGAAGAGATGGGGTCCCCAAGATAGAAAGAAGGGTTGAGTGCCCCTTTCTTGCCCTCTCCCCCACGGGACCTGTAGGAAGCTGTGCGGCTGCAAGAGCAGGCGGCCATGGAGGCTGAGGAGGTGGAGGCCCTGAGGAATGAGTCAGAAGTGCTACAGCAAACCTTGCGGGACCTGGCCCAGGTGGGAGGGCCATTGGGTCAGGTGGGGGATGGTGAGAAGCCTTAGAGCAGTGGTGCATGATGGGAGGAGGCCTGCTGCTATGGCTTTGGAGGTCTCTGTGGGGAATGGGCCCCTTTGAAATTCCCCATCCCCCAAGACTGGGGACCAACATTGGCTGGGGTTAGCAGTCCCAGGTGCCCTGTGCTCTAGCCTAGGGAAGGCTGCTTCCCCTTCACCCCTAACTGGAGCATCAGACTAATCAAAGTATATAGAATAAGAAAAGTGGGTTGGCTAGACTTAATCTAGGAGGTCTTCCTGGAGGAGGCAGGCATTGAATATAAAAGGCTGATATCAGGGTAAGGAAAACACTATCCCTGGGGTTCTGAGGGTAGGAGTGACCCTCACCAAGCAGCCTTTGTCACTCCATATCCCTTCCTCCTTCTGCCCCAGGCTGTCCTGTCTGACACAGACAGTGGTATCCAGATGGGTGGTATGGAGCGTACCCCCGAGGCCTCAGATGGCAGTCTACGCGGCCTCTCTAGCCTGCGAACCCCTTCCCCTCTCCGGCGCTCATCACCTCGCCCCAGTGGCTCCCCTCGCCCCAGCCTGTCCCCAGCCTTCTCTGATTCTACCCTTGCCTTGGTCCATTCTGCCCTGCACAAGAGACAAATGCAAGTCCAGGTAGGAAACCTGGGCCTCCTTTGTCCCCCTGCCCACTCTTCAAAGGAAAGGGGAAGGAGGAGATGGGATTCCTTTGGGAGTTTCCCCTTCCCTGGAAGGGAAAGGCTTGGTCTGGCCGTGGCGGACAGAGCTGGGAGACCAGGATGGACAGGAAGCTGCTGGAAAGTGGGAGCACAGTCAGGATGGTGATGTGGAGAGATGAGGCCTCAGAGGGACTCATTGGAGCCAGCAGGCCTGGGGCATGTAAAAATGTGAACAGGATTTCTTTCCTTCCATGTAATCCCTTGGAAGCATTTTCCTTCGGACAGGGATTTCCAAGCCTTGGGGAAAGGAATAAGCACTGGAAATTTGGAGAGCACTCAGGGACAGGAATGAGGTGCTGGATATCAGGAATGGCCTCAGGATCAGGAATGGGGCATGTTCCAAGGCCAGGATTCATGGAGATGAGTGCAGTGCCAAGTATGAGGGGAAAGTGTCTGAGATGGAGACTTAGTGTCTGTTCTAGAGGTGGGAGGGTCGTAATGCTGAGGATGAGGACTCCAAGGTTGGGCTTAGGGGGTGAAATGCTCTTCAGGGGCATTTACTGTAAAGGATGGCAGGGACAAAGGCTCAGTATAGTAATAGGGATGGGATAAGTGTAAGTGATAGGGACTCCATGTCAGCGGTGGAGGGGCTCAGGGTTGGGGATGGGGACTCAGAGTTGGGGATGGGGGCTCAGAGTCAGGGATGGAGGCTCAGTGTCAGGATAGGGGCTCAAGGAACTGGGTTAAGTTTCAAAAATAGTAAGTATCACCATGTCAGGGCTCAGGGCAGAGATAGTTAATTACACAGTGTCAGAGGTGGGAGCTCAGGGTCAGAAATGCTCTGTCCCGCCCTGAATTTAGAAATTCCTGCGATCCCTGGGATGGTGAATGTGGGATCCAAGGCCTGGGCATCTGGGAATGTAATGGAAAGCTGCTGAGGGTGAGGATGATGGGCACTGATGGTCCTTGGGGCTGGGGTTCCCTTCAGGATATGCGAGGACGCTATGAGGCCAGCCAGGATCTTCTGGCCTCCCTGAGGAAGCAGCTGGCAGACGGTGAGGCTGAGCGCCGGAGTCTGGACAAGCAGGTTCTGCAACTTCGGGACGTGGCTGATGGTGCCGTCCAGGCCAAGGAAGATGCCCTTCGAGACATCCAGAGGCTGCGCAGTGCCCATGACCTGCTGAGCAGGTAGTGGGACATGCCCCTGCTGGGGCAAGGGAAGGGAAAAGAGGACATGGGCCCGGGGGGGCCTCCACCCTGCCCTTGGCAGAGAATCCTGGGGCGTGGAGGGAGACCAAAGCAGAGACCCAGAGGGGCAAACTGATTTGGCCAAAGCCGTGTATAGTAAGGTATTGATGGAACCAGGGCCAAAACTCGGGTCTCTTGTCCGTCAGACCTGAAAGAGGGAGGGGAGAACATGAGGGGAAGACGTTAATAATAGCAGGTGTTTAAGCAGCAGATGTGTGCCCTACCCTGTGCTAGGCCTTGGGGCTAGGAGGGAGAGGGACAAAAAAATTCATAAAATGTTTGTGCTGGAAACAATATTGGAATATAGAAATGTAGAGCAAAGAATGTGAGCGTTGGAAGGGCCCTTAGAACACAGAATGTCAGAACAAGAATTAACCTTGGAACACAGAATGTCAGCTGGGAAGGGCCTTAGAACATGGAATGTCACAGCTGGAATGGCCCTTAGACCATAGGATGTCAGAGCAAGAATTAACCTTAGAACCCAGGTTGTCAGAGTTGGAAGGCACCCTAGAGAGCGCGTTGGTACCCACTCTCTCACGCATGATCTTGGCCCTCGAAGACTTTCCAGTCTGTTTGGGGATGTAAGGCTTATACACAGAATAATATATAACAATATCTAACCAAGTGCTGGATTGTGGGTTTGGATTGCCAGAGTCATAGAAGGCTCTAGAAGAGAAAGATCAATGTGTGGGCTAGGCAGAGCAGGGCAGGCTTCCTCGAGGAAGCTGGGCTTGTTAGGCCTTGAAGCACAGGTTGGATGTGGATGGGGGAGAGGAGTGCTGAGTGGCTCCGGCGTGTACTGACTGCCACAGGGCAGGCCAGCTCCTGTCCCTTCCTCCCTAACCGCTACCCCTCACCCCCGGCGCTTGGCAGCGAGAAGGATGGACTGGTGCGGAGCCTGGCGGCCATGCAGATGCAGGTGGAGATGCTGCAGCAGGAGAAAGAGAAGCTGCAGCTGGCCCAGGATGAGCTGCAGAGGCAGAGGGACCAGCTGGAGGAGGAGAAGGAGGATATCACCCAGGACAGAGAGAGATTCCACAAGGAAATAGAGCGGGGGTAAGAGGGGGCTCCCTTACTCCTCCTGCTCCCCCACCCCGTCCAGACCCAGCCATATCTGACCTGTGTAGAACAGAGAACCTCACTCCTGGAACCCTCTCCTTTTACAGAGGAGGAAACTGAGGCCCAGGGAAGAGAAGTGACTTGCTCAGGGTCGCTGAGCTCTCAGGAAGGACCAGAGCTGGGAGTCGGATCTAGGTTGAGGGCATTTTCCTTCACATCCCATGGTCACTGCAGGAGACCCCCATAGTCCTTCTGCTAGGTCTTGGTCTGGTGCTTTTGACTTTCCCATGCATTCTCTGATTTGTTCTCCATAATATCTCTAGAAGTAAACTGAGTCTAACACACACTTCCATTTCTGTAGCTGGGGGCCCTTGACTTATCACCACCTGTTTTACAAGTGGCCATCCCTTCCCACACAGGAGGTGCAGGAAATCCTGGAGCCCAAGGTCTTTAGGTCTGACAGGCAGGCCTTGAGGGTGTGGAGAAGCCCCCGAGGCCCTTCGTGACCTAGGGGAGTAGGGGACAGGGAGAAGCAGGGAGGAGGGTTACCCATTTTTTATCCCTATTTTTATTCTGGGCATCACCATCCTAGTCACCCAGGTTCCCAATCTCAGTGTCATCCCGGATCCATCTCACTCCTCACTACAACCCCTGAAGCCAATCAGTTGCCCTTTCTGGTCAATTTGTAAATGTTTTTATTTATGTCATTTGTTTTTTACATCACCATAATTTCCCCTAGGATCCCTTCCCTTTCCCTTCTCAGAGAGCCATTCCATATACCAAATAATATTTTTAAGACAAAAAAAAAGAAAGAAAAATAAGAGGAAAAATCATAACTGGTCAATACGTTGTAAGTCTGAAATATATGCGATGTGTAACACTTGTGGACCTTCCACCTTTGCAGAGGGGTGGGGGGGGCGTCTTCTCATATCTCTTCTTTTGAGCCATTACCATTACTAGATGTGTAACCCTGGGCAAGTCACTTCACCTCTGTCTGCCTCAGTTTCTTCATCTATAAAAGGGGCATAATCATAGCACCTATCTCCCAAGGATTAGGAGTTGTCAGGATCAATGAGCTGATATTTATAAAGTACTTAGCACATAGTAAGCACTTTATCAATGTTAGCTATCATCATTTTTATTGTTTTGTAACATTCACTTCTGATATTTGTACGTGGCTGATCTTTCCATTTACATTGTTGTGATGATCATGTATATCCTTCTCTTGGCTCTGCTGACTTCAGTCTGCATCAGTCCTTGTTGATCTTCCCAGACTTCTCTGAATTCATCACACTCATCATCTCTTGCAGCAGGCCTATTCCATCACTCCCATGGACCACAATGTGTTTAGCCATTCTCCAAGATCTTGGCCAATATCACCTCCACTCTGTCTCTCCTGTGTGCCCCCCCTTCTTTCTACTCCCACGGCCACCAGCCTAGGACACCATCACCTCTCGCCTGGGTTATCACAATCGCCTCCTGGTTGGTCTCCCCGCCTCATCTCTCCCCTCTCTAATTCATCCTCCGCACAGGTGACTTCCTCAAAGCTCAGGTGTGACTGTATTACCCCCACACCCTAAATAAACTGCGGTAGCTTCCTATCACCTCTAGGATCAAATATAAACTTCTTGGTTTGACATTTAAAGTCCTGCTCCACCTGGCCCCAGTTGACTTGTCCAGCCTTATTTTATACATCACTCCCCTTCATGTGCTCTAGATTCTGACCAAATTGGATTTCTTGCCTTTGCACACGTCTGGTATTCTATCTCCAGTCTCCATGCCTTTGCATTGGCTATCTTCTCCTCCCCCTGTCCTCCCATGTCGAAAGTGTTCCTCATCACTTCTCCCTCTTAGAATCCCTAATGTCCTTCAGCGTTCAGCCCAAGGACCACCTTGTCCATGAAGTCCTTCCTAGTGCCCCCCTGAACTTACCTTCTGTTTATTATGTATACACTTATTTTGTTTATTATTATCTATGTATATGTTGTGTCCCTCAATAGTACGTAAGCTCTTTGAGGGCAAACTGTTTCATCTTTTTCTTTGTGTACCAAGCGCCAGGCACGTAATAGGTGCTTATTATTTGTTGATTGATTGGTTGATTGATAGTCATAAACAGTTGGAGCAGCTGGAGGTGAAGAAGTCAGGGCTGATGAAGGAGCTGATCTTGGCTAAGGAGACCCTAAGCAAGGCCACTTTGGCAAAGGAGGTGATGGAGGCCGAGAAGACGGAGGTGACGGAGGCACTGACCAAGGTGGGATCTTCCCTAGGCTCCTGAATTGACCAAGACCCCTTGCTGTAGCTTGCTGTCCTTGTCGGATCATAGAATTTAGGGCTCGAAGGGACCTTACGGGTCTGCAGGCTCCCTGGTGGCTTGGGTGGCGTCATTCCTTCACTTTGTTCATAGAGTTAGAATCCTCCAATATCAGCCATTGTTGTCGTTCAGTGGTGTCTGACTCTTCATGACCCCGTGGGCCGTAGAACGCCAATACTGTCCGTGTGGTTTTCTTGGCAAAGATCCAGGAGGGGGTTGCCCTTTCCTTCTCCAGTGGTCACCTTTTGTCAGAACGCTGCACTATGACCTGTCCGTCTTGTGTATCCCTACACGGCGTAGCTCAGAGTTTCATTGAGCTATGCGAGCCCCTCTGCCGTGACAAGGCAGTGATCCAGGAGGGGAAAACCAGCCATAGAAAGGAGAAATAATGTGGCATATCAGAGCTAGAAGGAACCTCAGGACCTGGAATATGTGAGTTGGAAGGAGTTTTAGATCTGGGAGGGGCCTTAGAACACAGGATATCGGAGCTGGGAGGGGCCTTAGAACACAGGATGTCAGAGCTGGGAGAGGCCTTAGAACACAGGATGTCAGAGCTGGGAGGGGCCTTAGAACACAGGATGTCAGAGCTGGGAGGGCCCTTAGAACACAAAATGTCAGAGCTAGGAGGGCCCTTAGAACACAGGATGTCAGAGCTGGGGAGGAGCCTTAAAAATACAGTCCAAATCCCAGCCTCCCCCGACCCCAGAGTAGAAGGGAAAAGACCAGCTTGGCTGTGTCCAGGTCCATGGCACTAACAGGTGCTCTGATCCCCAACTGTAACCCTACTACTCATGGGTCAGAATGTGACTGTGACAGTTCCGCATTGGATGCCACCCCAGGGGTTTCAGCGACTGATAGAACCCTGGGATATCATTATAAAGTGGTTTTAGCTGTGAGGGAGGCCTGAGGCATGGACTTGGGCCAGTATGATAAGAGGGAGCACTCATAGCTGAGTGTATCTGGACAGAGGTGGTTGGTTAGAACAAGGTATAAAGCTGAGGCTTGTCTAAGAGGGTTTAGGTAAGGAAGCCCTGCCCCCAGCCTCAGGTGGCTACATCCTAAGTGAGTCAGGCAGCTTGGGGTGGGGGATGGCTCAGGGCAACCCAACCTACCAATTGAAGGAATAACTCCAAGAAATGGCAGCAAACAGCTGGTCAGCTGAATCTTTGGGCTGATGGACCCTTCTCGCTGGCTTCCAGCTGCTGTTTGAGCTCTCCCTGACTGGGCTGGCTTGTCCCTTCCCAGAGCTCTCCAGTGAAGACAGGCACTCTGACCTAGGGCCCCTGGAACTCCCAGTGGGGGTGGGAACTCCCTCTACCAAGGCTGGACCAGCACCTGCTCTGCAGCTTAGAATCTTAGACAGCTGCTGGGCCCCAGAGGGCAAGAGTCTTCCCCAGTGTCACCAGGCAGAGCTGCTGTGTCTGGGGGCTCTGGCCCTCCACCAGGCCTGGGCTGCTGCTGGGCTCCTGCCATGGGGAACGTCTTCCTCACGTCCAACCTCAGCGCCTGCCATCCCCGCTTGCAACATGAGCCTGATCTGATTCATTCCTGCCAAAATTATATTGGTTTTGTTTCTGTTTGCTTTTTATACAATTTGCTGTGTACAGTGGGTTTTTTTCTTTTCTCTTTTTGTTTGACTATTCTTATCTTTGTTTCCCTGTGTATTCGTGCCTCTCATGTCTCTTTCTGTGTCTCTATATTTCTTTTTCTGTGTATTTTTTTTTAAAATTTGATCTATCTCTCTTTGGGTCTTTTCCCCACACCTCTGTTTTTCTCTTTCTCCCCCTTTCTTTTTCTCTTTCTTTCTCTTTTCCTCTGTCCCTTCCTCTTTCTCTCTTTCTCTCCTCTCCTTCCCTTTCTCTTTCTCCCTCTTCTCTCTCTCTCGCCCTTTCTCCTTACCTCCCTACCTCTCTCTTTCTCTCTCCCTCCTTTCCTCCTTCTCTCTCTCTCATTCTCTATCCTTCCCTTTCCTTTTCTTCTGTCTCTCTCTCTCTCCCTGACTCTCCCCATCTGTCTGCCTTTGTCTTTCTGTTTCTGTTTATCCCCTCCTTACCCCCTCTCTCAATCTCCTTTGTCTCTCCATTTGTGTCTCTGTGTTCTCATTTCTCCCTTCTTTCTGCTTCTGTGTAATCCCCTCCATCTGTCTCTTTGCCTCTGTGTGTGTCTCTGTCTCTCTGTATGTGTTCCTGTGTCTCCCTGCTTTCTCTCTTTTTCTGTCTCCTCCGATTCTCTCTGGTGTGTCTCCCCCTGGTTTTGCATCTCTTTCTGTGTCTTTCTCTGTGTCTCTGTCTTTATCTCTTCATGTCCCCATCTCTCCCCTCTGTCTTTCTGTCTCTCTCTTCCTGTCTCTATATCCCTTCCACCTACCATGATCCTGCACTCTCTGTATCCACATGTGTCTCTGTTCCTTCATGTTCCTCCATGTCTCTGTCTCTTCAATGTCCCGGGACCAGGTGGAGGCCAGCAGGGCTGAGCTGGAGCTGTCCATGAACAGACTGAAGGGAGAGGAAGCATCTCTGCGGGATTCCTTGTCCAAGTTGAGTGCCCTCAATGAGGGCCTGGCCCAGGACAAACGGGAACTGAACCAACTGGTCTCTCAGGTACTGCCTGCCCGTTTTCTGGGGGAGCAGGGGAAGGGGCACAGACCCTCCCTCAGACACCTGCCTGAGCCTTACTCCAGGCACTGCTCTGTCCGTACGGGTGGCAGCGAGACGTCCTGCACGATCCTGGACTCGGCCAGCTGCCAGGGTGGTTAGGGGTGGAGGGCCCACTCCCTTCCTAAGGAGCCTCTAGCTTCCCTCTCTCCACCTTCTCTCTTCTGCCTCTATTTCCTTCCCTCTTTTTTCCTTTTCTTTCCAACTTTTTCTCTTTTCTGTTTCTTCCTTTTTTCTTTCTTCTGCCTATATTTCCTTCCTTCTTCTCTCTCTTTCTCTCTCTCCCTCCCCCTTCCACCTTTCTCTCTGTGTTTCCTCTCTCTTCTCCCTCCTATAACTCTTCTTTCTTGGGCGCACAAGACCTGAGTTGGGATCCTGGCAAGTCACTACCCCCTTCACTGGGCCTCAGTTTCCTCATCTGTAACATGACGGGATTAGACTAGATGGCTTAGAGGCTGCAATTACGTAACCTTCACTCCTCTCTCCCTTCTCTGTCACACTCCTTCTTTTCCTTTCTCTTGCTTCTCTGTCTCTTTCTCCATTTTTCTACCTCCCTTCTCTTTTCCCCTCTCCCCCATCTCCCTTTTCCCTCCTCTTTTTTCTTTTTCTCTGCCTTGTCCCACTTCCCTCCTCTTCTTCCCCACATTTATGTCCCCGGAAGAGTCCTTGGGAATTTCCTCTTCCTTCCTCTGGCCTCCTGATTTGGGAGGTCGGTCTCAGGTCCAAAGGGCACGGGATCCCAATCGAGGGTGATGGGCCCAGGGTTCCCCTGACCCCCTCTCCCTTTCCCTAGCTTGAAGAGGAGCGGGGAACCCTCCTTGGGCAGAAGCGAGATGCTGAGCAGGAGAAGGCTGCTGCCCAGGAACAAGTGGCACAGCTGGAGCAGGAGAAGCTGGTGCAGGAGGCAGAGAGGCAGAGCCTGGAACGCTCCCTCCAGGCTGCCGAGCTGGCGCGGGAGGCCCTGGAGCAGCAGCTGCCTGCCTTTCAGAAGGAGCGTGGCCAGCTCCAAGATCAGCTGTCGCAGGTAGAGAGAGGCACCCTTAGTTCTGGGGTGGCAGAGCCCCAGGGGGCACCAGTGCCTGGGAGGGGCCTTGGCTTTGGCAAGGGGGCCCAGAATAGGGCAGAACTGTCCTCAGTGCACCTGGCTTGGGGCAAGAATTAGCGTTTTTTTTTCCCTTTAAAACAGTTTTTCTCTTTTATTTTTTTTTCATGCTTCTCCAGCATGGAAACACAATGCTTAGAGTTAGTCACTACCCATTAGGGAAGACTTCCTGGAGGAAGTGGCTTTAACAACTGAATTTTGAAATTGATGAGGGATCTGGGTGGGCAGAGACCATTCAGGTGGGGACTGGTTGGGGAGGGGAAGAGAATCACGGGAAAAAGAGCCCTCAGAGCCCAGGAAGGGAGTCTCTGGACAAGTCAAAATGGGGACTCAGGCAAGGCTAAGACTTGGGGACTAACCCGCCTCCTCCTGTTCCGGGGCAGTTGTCAAGACAGTTGGGAGCACAGCAGGAGGAGCTGCAGAGAGCTCACAGAGATGGGGAGCGGCATTCGGAGGGGCTGGAGCGGGCTTTCCGGGAGATGGAGTCACTGACCAAGGAGCGCGCCAGCCTGCTAGTGCAGCTGACTGCCTCTGAGCGAGAGAATCGGTCCTTGGCTGAGGAGGTAGCCGGCCTCCGGTAAGGAGATCATGGGGTGGGGGTCTCTGTGCACCTTGCCTGACCCCTTGGCAAGGTGGGGGGGAGGGGAGGGGCGGGAATGCATTGCACAGGAAGGATAGCTTGGGGAAGAGGGCAAGGCAACTAAAGAGCTCAGGAAAGGCTTCCTGTGGGAGGAGATGCACAAGCTGAGCCTGAAATGATGCTGAGAGGTGGATGTGAAAGGGAGAGCCTTCCAGGAGATGGAGAGCCAAGTTTGAGAAATAGCAGGAAGCCCAATTAGGCTGCAATCTACCACCTCCCAGCCTTTGCCTTGGCCATCCTCCCTCCTCATAGAATCCTTACTGCCTTTAAGATTCAGCTCAAGCACCATCTTCTACACAGAGTCTTTCCCGTTTCTCCTAACTGCGAGTGCCCTCCCTCCCTAAACTGTCTCCTGTTCATTTTGTATTTATTTTTTATATCACGTGTACGTCTTGTCTGCCCTGATAGAATGCAAGTTTATTGAGAGGAAGGGTTTCATTTTGGGGTTTGTATTTCCATTGCCACATATTTCCAGTGCCACGCATAATAGGCACTTAATAAATGCTTTCTGATTAACTGATTGATTGAAGAAAGAGTATGTGAAAGGGAGAACATTCAATAACCCTGTGAAAGTCAGTTAGAGCCGTGTCTCGGAGGACTTTAAATGCTAGGCTGAGGAGTTTACATATCCTAGGCAGTAGGGAGCCATTGACGTTTCTTGAGTAGGGGATTAACAAGGTCAAATACTCATCCTTTGGGGGAGAGTAAAGGTGGATAACAATAAGAGTAACAGCTCTTGTTTCTGTAGCATTGAAGATGATGAAACACTTTCCTCACAATGCTCTTAATATGAATATTAGCAACCCTGTTTTACAAGGGAAAAAGCTGAGATTTAGAGGGGACAGGGAACTGCTTCAGGGCAAATTTGAATCCGAGCTCTGACTCCAAGACTAGGACACAAGGCAGGCTTTTGCCTGTAGGGACAGTAACCCAGGAGCTCTGTTTGCCAACACAGAGCTGTGTCGGTGGGGCCTGCCTGGCACCTGCCCTAGCTTTCCTTAAGGAGTGAGGAGTGTGCAAACCTCCGCTGGTGAGTGCCGCCCCCAGGTGTGTGGATTAGAGTTATAGACAGGCAGAGCTTTGCCAAACAGCTGGCTCCCCCCATCAGGATGGAGCGGGTGCCCTGGGCACTGACTGAGCTCCCTGTCCAGAGCTGATTATGCCTGTCCTCCCTTGGCCACACCCTAATTAACTCCTTTCCCCAGGCTCAGTTTCTTCCTCTGTAAAATGAGGGGTTGGGACTGGCTTGGGGTTTCTTAACCTGGGGTCTGTGGATAGATATCAAAGAGTCTATAAACTTGGATGGGAAAAAAGTACATTTTTATTTTCACTAACTTTATTTTCTTTGGAATCCTCTGGATTTTATTTTATGCTTTCAAGACATTCTTCTGCAAAGAGGTCCATAGGCCCCAACAGACACTGCTGGGAGGCCTTGACCCAAAAAAGCTTATTCCTGGGCTAGATAATTTCTAAGCTCCCTCCCACCTCTGACAGTCTGTTTTTTAAAGGTAACGATAATAATTATTATTATTAGTATGGAGAGGGAGCTGTAAAGTTTGCAAATTGCCTCGCAAATATTATCTCATTTTATCCTCAAAACAACCCTGGAAAGTAGATGCTATTCCTGTCTTCATTTAACAGATAAGGAAACTGAGGCATACAGAGATTAATTGGCTTGCCCAAAGTCACACAGCTAGTACCTTCAGCTCTGGCATTCTATGTTCTAAGAGCTCTCCCAGCTCTGAAATCATGAGTTCCAAGGCCCCTTCCAGCTCTGACATTCTGTGTTCTAAGGTCCCTTCTAGCTCTGACGTCCTGTGTTCTAAGGGCCCTCTCAGCTCTGACATTTTGTGTTCTAAGGGCCCTCCCATCCCTGACATTCTGTGTTCCACGGTCCCTTCCACCCCTGACATTCAGTGTTCTAAAGCCCCTTTCAGCTCTGACGTTCTAACTTCTAAGGTACGCTCAGATATTCTGTGTTCTAAAGAGCCTTTCCACCCTAAAATCCTCCTCTCTCAAATTCCAGAGTCCCCAGGGCAGTGGCTGCACTTGGGAGGGCACTGAGTCCATGTCTCCAGGACTGGGCCTGAGTGCCTCCCTCACTGGCCCTGCATTTCTCCCCAGCTCAGAGAAGGACACCCTGGAGACCAGCCTGTTTGATGCCCACCGACAGCTCAGCCAGATGGAGGCGCGCAGGGAGCAGCTGGAGGCTGATGTGCAGGGCCTGCTGCTGGCCAAGGAGACGCTGACCGGTATGGTCCCTGTGCTTTAGGGTAATGAGGGTGGGAGGGGCCGGCCGGGGCCTGGTACTGCTAGGAGGACTTAGCAAGCTTCTGCTCGTAGCTCCTCGTCTGGGCTGGGCCCCAGGGCACAAGCCCAAGGTATGCCGTGCACTCCCTCCTGGCCCCCGGAGAGGCCGGGACCGGGCCAGAGCTTTGTCTGCCCTGACTCTGGGGCTGGGCCTGCCCCTTCTCTCTTGATCTGACTTCTGTGCCTTCTACTTTCCTTCATCCAGTCATTCAACCAGTATTTATTAACTGCCTGCTAAGTATCAGGCCATGTACTACATGCTGGGGCTATAAAGACAGACACAAACATGCCTGCCCTCAGGGAGCTTCTATTCTATGAGCAAAAACAACATGCATGTGAAAATTCCCACACGATATGTACAAAGTAATATCTGCGGTCAAGGGTGGTCACTGGCATCAGGATGGGGTTCCTGTAGGAGGGGGCACCTGAGCTGAGTATACCCGTCACACTCAGGGGAGACAAGATGGGTGATGATTCATCAAAGGAGATGGAGGAGAGGTCAGATATGTATACAGGAGGGAAGCAGGATTAAAGCTTTAGAGATGGGACCTTCAGAGTTATCTAGGCAGCCAGGGGGCGCCGTAGTGCACAGAGCTCCAGGCCTACAGTCAGGAAGACCTGAGTTCAAATGCCACCTCAGAGCCTTACTAGCTGTGTGACCCTGGGCAAGTCACTTAACCTCTTTTTTCTCAGTTTCCTCATGTGTATAATATGGACAGTAGTAGCATTTACCTCCCAGGGTTGTCAAGAGGACCAAATGAAGTAAAATATGTTAAATTTCTTTGCAAATCTTAAAGCTCTATAGAAACACCAGCTGCCTACGGTTATTGTCTATTGTGATTCCACCTTTTTACAGTTAAGGAAACTGAGGCCCAGAGACATTCAGTGACTTGCCCATGGTCACACAGAAACCTGAGAAAGACAGATTAGGAAAACTCAGGGGAGGAGAGAATGGGGAGGACAAGGGGAGATAGTTTCAAAAGCTGCAATTAGGAGGAAAATGGAAAAGGGGTCACTGGGATTAGTAATTAAATAGGGAGTGAGGTCAATTAAGTGGTAGGATGTCGAGTCACATGACCAGGGAGGGACCTGGGACTAGAACCCAGACTGCTGGGCTGCATCTTCTCATCCTTTAAGGTGACAGCGACATTTCTTTCAGTAATCATCTGGGAGTGTAGGCTCCGTAGATACCTCCTCCAGGGCCCTCAGGAGGCTGTCCTTTGGGAATCTTCCCCCAGCTGTAAGTGTGGTTATAAAGCCACAAGTCAGAGCTGGGAGGGCTCTTACAATATGGAATATCAGAGCTGGGAGGGCCCTTAGAACATGGAATGTCAGAGCTGGGAGGGCTCTTAGAATACAGGATGTCAAGGCTGGGAGGGCCCTTAGAACACAGAATGTCAGAGCTGGGAGGGCCCTTGGAACACAGGATGTCAGAGCTGGGAGGGTCCTTAGAATACAGGGTGCCAGAGCTGGGAGGGTCCTTAGAATACAGGGTGCCAGAGCTGAGAGGGCTCTTAGAACACAGGATGCCAGAGCTGGGAGGGCTCTTAGAACACAAAATGTCAGAGCTGGGAGGGCCGTTAGAACATGGAATGTCAGAGCTGGGAGGGCTCTTAGAATACAGGATGTCAGGGCTGGGAGGGCCCTTAGAACACAGAATGTCAGGGCTGGGAGGGACCTTAGAACACAGGATGTCAGAGCTGGGAGGGTCCTTAGAATACAGGATGCCAGAGCTGAGAGGGCTCTTAGAACACAGGCTTTCAGGGCTGGGAGGGCCCTTAGAATACAGGATGCCAGAGCTGAGAGGGCTCTTAGAACACAGGATGTCAGGGCTGGGAGGGCCCTTAGAACACAGGATGTGTCAATGTCCCTCTCCTCATTCTGCCCCACAGGACAGCTAGTGGGTCTTCGGCGGCAGATGGAGACCGAGGTACAGAAGCTGGTGCGGGACAAGGAGCTGCTAGCCCAGCAGCTGGTGCAGGTGGAGCAGGAGGCCCAGGCCACCCTTCGAGGAGAACAGGCAGCCCACGATGAGGACGTAGAGCGGCTGCGTCAGGAGAAGGTTTGGGGGGATGGGAGGGGAGCTGCTGGGTGAAGCGTCAGTGTGGGAGCTGAGGCCCAACCCCGTGGGGCAGCCAGGATGGGGGAGGGAGGGCACCCAGCTCTCGTGGGGCTCAGAGAGGAGCCACAGCTGTAGAGCTGGCCAAGGGCCTCCGGCATCGTCTGGTCTCACCCTGTCATGGCACAGATGAAGAAACGGAGACCCAGAGGGGGTCAGTTTACCCTGGTCGTGTATAGCAGGTTTGGGATTTGAAATCAGGGTCTCTGACTCAGCCTGGCCCTCCATCGGGGCACTGACATTGATCTTATTCCTGGATGCTTTACCTCCCAGTCCCTTTAGGGGAAAAAACATAGATAGATGGATGGATAGATAGATAGAGAGACAGACAGACAGACAGATAGGTAGATAGATAGATAGATAGATAGATAGTCACACATATACACATATGCATATATATTGTTTTTAAATATATTTTTTCTAGAGGGGATGTGTGTATATATACATGAATACATACATCAGTTTGACCAACTTCATTTTATAGATAAGAAGTAGGTCCAGAGAGCAGAATTAACCCAGGATCTCACAGGTAGTTGGAAAGTCGGTTTGTGACCCAGGTTCCCAGACTCCGAATATCCACATCTCAGATCTAGGCAGTCTGTGTGGTGAGCAAATCTGTTCAGTCAGTAAGGTCTGCTATGCTATGTTTTGAGAATACAAATACAAGCAAAAAGAAAGACAGTCCCTGCCCTCAGAAAGCTCCCATTCTAATGAGGAAAGATCACAAATAAAGGCAGCTGAAGACCAGGAGGAAGAAGGCAGGATGATGAAGCTGACTCGAGGTGTTCAGCCTGGTGTGATATGAAGAGGTGTCTGGCCTCTTAGGCCTCCTTAAATGGAGGTTCTGGGACAAGCCCTCCAGGTCAGATCAGACAGAGGTCCCGGGGCAGAGGGGACTTTGGGGCTGTAGGTTCTAGGACCAAAGCGATGTTCTAGGATGGAGAGGTTCCTGGGCGTGATGGAAATGTCCAGAGGATGGCAGCCTGGCTGGGCAACTTTTGGATCTCAGGGTCTAGGTCGGAGCCAGGCTGGATGCCTTCTGCCTATCCCAACTGTCCACCCCACCCCCTTTTTGCTCCCACCCCCAAGCGTCACCCCTTTGTTAAGAGCACAAGACCTGGTGGTTAAGCTCCCCCCACGGCTCTGTGGAAGGACAGTACCCAGACCCCTGGGGCTCTTCTCTACTAGTCAAGGAGAAAAAGTCATAGAATTAATGGGAATGGACCTGGGAACATAAAATATCAGAGTGGAGAGAGATTCTGACGTAGACATAGAGCCAGAAAGGTCCTTAGAATAAAGAATATCAGTTCTGAAAGGGACTTTGGAACAAAATTCGGAACTGTGAGGGATCCTAGAATGTAAAATGTTAGAGCTGGAGGGGGCTTTGGCACATAGAATATCAGAGCTGGGAGGGGCCCTAGAACACAGACTGTCAGAGCTGGGAGGGCCCTTAGAGCATAGAATGTCAGAGGTGGGAGGGCCCTTAGAACACAGAATGTCAGAGCTGGGAGGGCCATTAGAACACAGAATGTCAGAGCTGGGAGGTGCCTTAGAACACAGAATGTCAGAGCTGGGAGGGCCCTAGAACACAGACTGTCAGAGCTGGGAGGGTCCTTAGAACATAGGATGTCAGAGCTGGGTGGGGAGGGACTTTAATGATCTAGTTGAGTCTGGCCCCTTCATTTTACAGATAAGGAAACTGAGTCTCAAAGAGAGGAAGTGACTTCCTGGAGGTCACCCAGCCAGTTTGCATCAGAGTTAAGAGTGGATCCCCAGCATTGTGACTTGGAGGCTGTGGCAGGGGCCTGCTCACGCCTCCCCTTGCTCCCCTGACCCTCTCTGCAGGAGGTGGCCCGACGAGAGCTGGAAGCTGAGCGAACGGAGCTGCTGCACCGCCTGAGCCAGGAGCGAGAGGAGCTGCTGGCTCGGCTCGAGGCGGAGAAGGAGGAGCTGAGCGAGGAGATCACTGCCCTGCAGCAGGACCGGGACGAGAGCCTCTTGCTGGCGGAGAATGAGAAGCAGCAGGTAGGAGGAGGACGGGTCCAGAGCCTCTCCTGCCTCCCTCAGCAGACACCCCCCGAGCCTGGGCCGTAGGGAGATGGGGCTGCTGCTGTGTTTTACCACCGGTGACAGAGTCTGGAAAGTTACCGAGCCCCATACACCCCGCCTAACAGGCTCGGCCCGGCAGTGTTATGGGGATTAGCCAGAGTGGCAACAGGTCCTGGCTCTGCTTACCAGCAGCACTACTTAAGCAAGTGGGTTAACCTCTTCGTGCCTCAGTTTCCTCCTGTCAAATGGGGATAACAACATTGTCGTTCAGTCATTTCAGTCGTGTTTGACTCTCCATGACCCCATTTGGAGTTCTTTTGGCAAAGGTACTGGAGTGGTTTGCTATTTTCTTCTCCAGGTGATTTTACAGATGAGGAAACTGAGGCAAACGGGTAAATGACTTGCACAAGGTCACATAGTTAGCAAGTGTCTGCAGTCAAATTTGAACTCAGGTCTTCTTAACTCTATCCAATGGATTACCTAGCTGCCTATCATAGAAATGTTAAAATTGGAAGGGCCCTTAGGACACAGGGTGTCAGAGCTGGGAGGGCCCTTAGG